CGTTTATTATGGCGGTACCTCTAGCCAAGGAAACAAAAAAGCAACGCTGTCGCCAAACTTGCTTCCCTTTTTCGAGTACAAAAATAAAGGTTTGTTTTTTATAAAATGGTGACAGCTGATGCTCGTATATTTTTGTTTATACAATTATAAATTAAAAGGCAGAAAAGAAAACTGAGTGAAAATGGCGAAAATACGGATATAGTTTATTCGTAAAAAAACAAGGGTAACAAAACTAGGATTGGAGACATCACAAGCTGAGTATGTCAGCTACCTAAAAAATAAATGTATTTAAATATAAACCAAATGCATTTGCGATAATTAATCTTGGCTTTTGTAAAGCTTAGCGAATTCATTTACCCCCATTCCCTTATATGTAAGGATAGCTATGTATTGGCCCTTGATCAAGGAATATCCGCAGAGCTTAATTTGGTTGACCTTATCAATCTTGATAGTAGGTTCGTATTTGGAATGTTCTAGTAATTGTTTCATTCTTTTTTTTATATTGGGGTTATTGCTGGCGTTTATTTCCAATATGTCCTTATAATATCTAGCTAAATAACCTTTAGCAAAGGCTACCAGTTCATTGCAATCTTTGCCTTCAATATTGCCCAACTGAAGCGTGAATCCTTTATTAAGAAAATTTACAGACATGGCGGTAATCTTCTTTGGAGAGGCTTGCCTTTTCTTTTCCTCTTTTTTAGCGCTGGCAATAGTAGCTGGTTTCCTGTTAAACATTTTGAATAATAGTAGGAATAATATTGCATGTGCAAAAATATAATGTAATAGAGTGGTATGTTGTAATTAGTAAGAAATAAATAAAGTGAGAGTGAGAAAATAAATTGAAAATGGGAGACAGCTGTTCATTATTATTATTATCTACTATCTGGTGCTGCAGCTTGATGCTAATAGGAGAAAATCCACAAGAGCTATTTCTTAAACGACCAAAAGGAATACTCCAGTTAAAACACGCGCTCATTGTACAATGCTGTCGTGAACATGCCCAAAGAGGATACCAATAGTAATCAGCCGACCAGTCGCAAGGAACACTGTTAAAGGGGTAAATAAAGGCATATTAAAAACTGAGGGTATCCCGTCCTCATGCCAGGAGCACCTCAGCACACAACGTGTGACATCAATTATTGCGATTGTTTGAAATTGTGATTGTTTACGATCGCGATTTCTATTTTCGCGGTCGATAGTTTCGAATAGATAAGCGGAGCTCTTTAAGCTCCCTTATAGTGGATTTTTTAAATAAAAATATAGTTAGTACGAATAAGTTTTATTACAATAAAGTATGTGAGCAAAATAATTGTTGATGTCAATATAATTATTTATTCGTTGAAAATCATGTCAATTGCTGTGGCTGAAATTCATGCTCTCGACCAACTGCGAGAAGTGGCTGTTCTTGTCAGCAAGCAGCTTCTCGGGCGTGTCAAACTCTGCCATTTGGCCGTGGTCCATCACCAGGATGCGGTCGCTCTCCATCACAGTGCCCAGCTGGTGCGCAATGGTCAGCACGGTGCATTCCTTAAACTCGCGGCGAATCACTTCTTGCATGATCTGGTCAGTCTTGGAATCCACGTTGGCCGTCGCCTCATCTAAAACGACAATCTTGCGCCGCCAAAGAAGTGCCCTACAAAGACTGATGAACTGTTTCTGGCCGACACTAAAATTGATACCATTGTATTTCACCCATTTGTTCAGCCCAACACCCTCGATACACAGCCCCTTGTCAGAATTTTTGCTATCAGAGGCTTGACGTACTTCTCTGTTGGGGTATCGAGAAGGTTGCTAATTTGACCTGCATGAATAGCTGCCCAGACTTCGTCGTCAGTGTACTCGTTGGCCGGATCAAGATTGTCGCGAATGGTACCCTTGAACAGCACCGGGTCCTGCGGAATAATGGCAATGCGTGATCGCAGGTCATGATGACCAATGGTCAAAATGTCAATGCCGTCGATGATGATCTGGCCGTTGGCTGGCTCGACCAAGCGCATCAGCGCATATGTTATTGAGCTTTGCCCGCACCCGTGCGGCCGACAATGCCAATATTCTCGCTGCCTTGTGCGAAAAGCTAAGCCCTTTGAGAACCAGATCCAACTCTGGATGGTAGCGCATGCTGTAATTGCAGAACTCAATTACCCCATTCTGCGGCCAACTGGGTTCTGCCTTGCATTCTCAATGACTGGTAGTGCCTCGCGCTCCAACTGTTCTGTATAAATGTAGTAGCGCAAAAGTGCCTGGATTTGGTCCTCAAACTTGCCAGAAATGTGATTTAATGCATTCACACAATGAAAACGTTTAAGAGCAGCAAAACCATTGTGTCAACCTCTCCTGGAAGTACAGGAGTGTTAGTGTAAAGACGACGATGGATACTAAATAGCAAGATCCCACTGCGGATGATCTCAATGCAAACAGTAGCCATCATCTTGCGTGAACTGTCCAATACACGACGAATGTGGCAAAATGTATTTCAAGGAAACCCTAGTTCTTGATTGGTCCAGGTATACGTCGGCACATCTGTGAATCCGAAGTAACAATTTGTGTTGAAATATCACTTCTGAGTGATTTAAGATACTATTATCAATATACTGGTTTAGAATCCACGGGAACCTGTCTATATCTCTGAATAATATTTTGGACAGTGCAGTTAGGCCAGCAGTGGCAAGCACAGCAGCAGAATTTTGGCGAAAATCTTGTAGCCTGGATTATTGCTGAGACTGCCAAGAAATTTTCAAACAAAACAGTATTGCACAGGGTATTTGGAAGGTTCTTGGATACATAAACCCGATCAGCCATAAACTTTTTACCAGGTCAGAGGAAGATAGTCTCTCAGCAAGTGTGAGTGGCAGTGAGAGAATACTGCTGATAAGCTGGCGACGCATTTTCTCTGCAACACGTTTGGTCCACAAAACCTTCCTGATCCACGCCTCAAATAATTTAGCTGCATGCAAACAACTCCCACCATGCATTGACAATTAAGTACCTGCTCATTGACTGGCGCATTGTGTCAGGATTGCTGTTGACCATAAGGCTGATTCGCAGGCTTTTGACGTAGTATATCACATAGGCATTGGCAAGCTGGATCAAGGCCACAATAGCAACAGTCCCATACCCACTGAGCTTGATAAACCTCCACAGCTGCCACAGCTTGAACGGTGGATCCTTCAGCTCGGGTGAATGGTAAACTTGCCAGATTTGGTGTCGGCATTGCTGGCTGAAGCAGTTTCTGTCGATGAATCAGAGATATGCTCATTTGTGTTGACAGCAGACACAAAACCAACCGGCTGCTGCTCAACAATCACAGCATGCCCCTCAGCAAGCGTGACACCTTGCTGCTCAGTGGCACCAGATGATCAGCATGGGTGACTAGAATACGCGTTTTATTGCCAATGATGCCGCCAGATGCTAAAACACGCTCGACAATGAGGCGCTCGACTCGTGCATCAACAGCTGCAAGCAAGTCGTCAAAGATGTAAACGTCGCTTTTAGGTACAGCGCCCTACAAAATAATTATGCAAAATAATTAGCAACAAAATACATATTCTACACCCTGCATATGTTGGATGTATGATACATGTTTGCTGTGAATATCCAATATTTACCTCGCTAGTGCCAGTCGGACCTTTTGACCGCCGGACAGGTTAATGCCATTAGGGCCAATCTCTGACAGATCGCCAGCTGCAAACTGCTTGACATCCTCGGACAGAGCACAGGCTTCAAGCACCTGATGCATCCATTTCTCGTCATACTCAGCACCCATGAGCACGTTCTCGCGGAAGGTGTTGTTCATAATGTATGGTTTCTGGCTGACATAGCCAATATTTCCACACATGCGGCCATGTCCACTGACGATAGGCATCTCGCCGCACAGCCCTGAAGTAATGACGACTTGCCACTGCCAATGCATCCGATTATCGTTACAAACTCGCCAGCCTTGATGCACAGTGTGATCGGATCCAATCCAAACTTACTCTTACCCCAGCTGAAAGCACAGTTGTCAAGTTCTACTGCAACACCATCCTTGGATGTCTCTGACACATGTGCAATAATTTTGGTATGCTGAGCATCGACAAGTGTCTGCATAAAAGCCACACCCTCCTTGATGTCAATAAGTGCCTGTCCAGTGGTACCAATTGTTTTGGCAAATCGAATGAGCGAGTCGATTGAGTCCACTAGCAGTGCAACAGTGGCATATGACATTGGATCACTGGACATGCTGAAGAAAATAATGATTGTTGATGCAGCGGAAATCTGCGAAACCGAGGACCCAAGAACTTTAATTATATACTCCAGCACATACCAAAATATTGGCGGTGTGTATTCTGGCAAATCCAACCATGCCATAGCGCCCATGAATGTCCTCTCCCAGGCATAGAGCTTGATTGTGCGAATATTTCTAGATATGGTGTCATAGTCTTCCTGAAACCTGGGCATCCTGGTCGTTTGGTTTAGCCTTTTCAGATGTTCGATATTTGCAGATACCAGATGGGCAATCAGCTGGTGGCCAAGAGTGATGGCAACTGGAATGACAGCACACCAGCCGATATGTCGAGATATGATCCAAACATTGAAAAGCTGAGCAAGCATCGAGCTGAAGGTGTCTATAAGGGTCTTGGTTGTTGCTGAGATCTTATAAGCTGAGCTATAAAATTTATACTCTCTAAAAAATTTGCAATATGCCGTAATGTACAACTCTTGTGCCTTAAAATATACAAGCGCAAGAATTTTTTCAGATATCAGCTCATGAAAATGTATAATATATCTATCAGCAAGAGTGGTGAGCGACAGCAACTGCCAGACAGCAAGAAGCATGGCCAAGCTCGGGTAGTCGATTGCACCCGGACTGCCGATAGTTGCAATAATGCTAACAAACATGAGCCGGCGCAAGTGAGTAGCCATTTTAACTAGTGTTTTGGCAACAAGCACACCGACAATACCCTTCCATTCGGCTACAATAAGGCCGCGGATGACAAAGAACCTATGTGCACAAAAATACAGTAATAAGATATTGGTGTGTTTAGAACAAACTAATTGTAGTTGGTCAAATATATCATTTAGCATGTATTTTATTTTAGAAGAATTGCCTTTGCAATGGGTCAAACACTGCTCTTTTACTGTGCTCGCTAAACTCGCTCTCAAACTTGCGGTTGCGCAAATCTTCAATAGAAAGGCCACCACTGCGCATGAGCCTGGCAAAAACAAACCCATCGAGAGCGCAAATGCCCTTGAGATGGAACAAAATGTTGCTTTTCAACTGCGAATTCAACGCATACCACGCGAGCCAAAGGTGAATTGCTGCGCTGGCTGCGGTTGCTGGCAGGGTCATTATCAGCGGCGATTGGCCCAGTCGGTAAATTCTGGCCACATGAAAGCAGGCAAGTGCATTGCTGCCGCTGGCTGCGCCCAAATAGTGGCAAAATGCCGAATATGCTGTCAGCGAGACTGCAGCAGACAAAGAAGCAGTAAAAACAACTGAGCTGATGGACACGCTCTGGATTACAACAAGTGCCACATTGGCAATGCCCAATGCAATCAGTGAAAATGCAGGCGTGGGCAATGTTTTGCGCCTGGTTGATTTGGCATTAAACATTGCCATAAGGCAGGCCATTGACACAACAATATCAATTGCGACGCTAGCGTTTGCCGCAATAAAATTAGCTGCCATTTGTTGGTAATTTGAAAAGATGATAATATGAAGTTTTTAATGGGTGATGTTTCAACAAGCTGTAAGTAAATAAAATAAATGTGAAAAATGTGGTGGGAGAATAAGAAGCAGAAGACACATACCAGTGGTTGGGCTTTCTCTATTTTGTTGGTATACACGCATCACTACACTAGAATGAGAATTTGGCATCCAAAAACACATGTACTGTTGGGCACACATTTCCTTTTTAGCCCAATGCCCATCAGCTGCCCTTTTCTTTGTGAGCACTAAGACTTGTAGTCATAAAAAGGGAAAAATAATATTTCTTTGTGAGCATTCTTTTCTTTTCTAGGTTTCTACGGAATATAAATTAGTCTAGTATTCAATACACTCGTCAACGTCCAGCATATTTTTAAGAACATGTTATTCCAGATGCAATATGCAAATAGGACATCTTTTACAAATAGACCCAAAGCCGCAGTCAAACAATGAATCTGCTGAATGTGAAAAATGGTTCTGTGAGAATAAAAGCTCATGTGGTTGCAATTTCCTTGCATGGTTGAGCAGTGGCCTGCATTTTAGACATGTATATTGTTCTGCATTGTATTTTTAATGGTTAAAAGTAGCCAAAACACATTTTTATTCCTGCTGCAGCATAGCATGTGCTTATTGCAATTATTTTAGTTTAGCACATTTTTCTGCGCAAATAAAATTTTTAAAATGCGTACAAATGAATTGAGTTTTGACGGGCAGCCCGTCTTAACCTAAAGCAATAAAGAGTTTGTGTGTTTGCGCCAAACGTGCTTTTAACAACATTATTACTATCACCATTGCGGTGTGCCTTTAAAACATTGTTTTATTTCAGATTTTCTTGTCACACACGGAATGGTACCGTATATTTAAGTAAATATTAAATGAATACACAGCTATATGCCAAAGTTTTTTAAGCCAAGTTGTCTGGCACTTTGATTATGCAGCGCATGCCCAGATAAACTGAGGTGACATAGTCATAACCGTTGTAATCGTCCGTCCTAATCGGTTTTATATTTACGTGTTTAAAATCACTGATATAGGCTTTGTCTCTGCTTTTTTCAGCAATCAAACATAAACCAAAGCGGGGACTGCCAAAATCAATTAGCGGGGCTCCATGGTCATATTTGGCAATTGGCTTCAGCGGTAGATCTTTCAAAGGCAAAACACATACCCAATTGATGTTTACAAATTTGATATTCATAACGACCCTTTCTGGAGTACCCAAATCAAGAGATATGACCCCAAGGACTTGCTTGACGAATTCACAAGCTTATCGCACGTTTAAGCCGATAGAAATTCAGGTGTATAAAATGACTTTATTTCAGTACTAAATAAAAATCCAGGAAGGAGAAGCCCGGAATCACAACAATTATTGTTGTGATTGTGCGCCTTTATAATTATTTACAAGAGCGCTGATCGTCGTTGGCTCAAGCAGCCAATACAACGGATAAACATAGTACATAGGCGTAATAGCAACATATATGGTAAGCAAGTCGTATGGCCCCAGATGGGCAAAAAAGTTTACAATGGCAAGTTTATACAAAACCAACCAGATACATTGATTGAATACATTCCAGCTGTGGATAAGCAAGCTATAAAGCATTTTGTAATACAGTTTACGCTCCAGCTGTGATACAAGAAATTGCGGCTTGTCTCCGGCGATTGATTAATGAATCAATCGCTAGTTAATTCCCTACTTGGGTATGCGGGAATTCATATGCACACATAAATACTAATGAATATGAACAGTGGAGGGTGTTCATCCCTTAGTTTTCTTTTAGTTCATTTTGTTCAAATATATATTTTTAACATAACAGGGTTCGTGGAAGGGAACAAGAAACATTAACCCGAGCCACCCACAAGATCCGTGTCAGTTCAAAGAAAGAGAGTCTCTCGACAAGCATGAACGGCAAGGAGAGAATGCTGCTGATGAGCTGTCAGTGGATTTTTCTGCAACAGGTTTGGTCCATAGAACGTCTTTGATCCAGGCTTCAAAATAGTTTAGCTGCATTAAACCAACCCGTACAAGCGCATTGACAACCGGGCACCCACTCATCGACCGGCACACCGTGTTTTGGCAATAAAAATGAGGGCTAATCCTTCGTAGCGCTCCACACAACAATTACATGCCGCTCAGCGACTCGCCTTCGAAAGACAACAATCACATGCTACTCAGCGACTCGTCTTCAAAAAACACAACAATTATATGCCGCTCGGCGACTCGATCAGCAGGGTTCTTCTGTTTTATGGTGTCTCAATAGTTGGCATCTGTATTTTCTAGACCAACGGACAATTAAATAAGTCGATGTGCTGCGAGCGGGCTCGTCGCCAACATGCTTGGGCACCTTGGTGTTGTCCAAGTCGATCTGCACCTTATCCATTACTTTCGGTTTGCGCTTGGGCTCTTTTGTCATCAACGCTGGCTTGTCGGTGTATTTTGCAATATAACAAGTTGTTGAAGCTCCCAAACGCTCTGTAGCCAATGCCACTGGTGTCACTGCAGTTTCCCCATTGGTAATATAGCCACTGCCATGTCTGTTGTTTGGATAAAGCATTGGTCGCCCCTTTTTGGGGGTCTCTGTCGCATAAAAAGACAAAAGACATTGGCAATGTTGCTCAGGACGGCTGTAGACAGTGTCGCGCGGCATATCACTTGCCAATAATAAACGGCGGTCCTGCATGTAAAAAAGAGGGGGAATACATAGCTGAGGGCAAAAAGAGGGCGCTTCCGGATTTGAACCGGAGACCAATCGGACTGCAGCCGAACGCTCTACCACTGAGCTAAACGCCCCTGCCAACCAGCTTTTTACAGCCAATCTTGTTGCTTCTAACCAATTCCATTTGCCAGCCTACTCGACCCGCATGCTTTGCAGTAGCTAACCCCCGCACTGGCGCCCTGTGTTCTACCCACGCCTTTTGCACAAACACATTCCCACCATCCGCGCACCACCATGCGGGGATACGTAGCATTTCCGGCGATCAGTTGGCTTGTTGCTACGCCTGTTGCATTTGCATTCCCCCTGTTCTTTGTCTCTATCCTTAGCACTTCCATTTTTCGCATCCACAAAGGCAAACTCACTGGCGACTTTGCCCTCTTTGCACCGTTTTTTAATTGCCCTCAGTTGCAAATGCCATTGCCTTTGCTGGCATTTGGAAAGTACCAAATAATCTCAGTTCCGCGTGAGTATATCTTTGATAGAGTGCTTGCTGCTTACTAGCGTTAATTTGTATTTTGTGTTTGTTTGAAAGCCATTGCGCCGCTTTTCAGCAAAAAATATTTGGCTATTTCAGAAACAGTGATTCAATTGACCCAGACCATATGTTTGTCGGCAGGCTTTTTTCACCAGAATATTGTTATTGTTCAGCCCAACATTATCGGCAAAAGTGTATTCGATAGCTTGTCTCTTTAGCAACATTAACAATTTAATTTTTCACACAATTTTAGGCTAAATGTAAAGACAATGGTTTTTTGTGATTTGTGCAAACAAAAAACTTTATTTTTGTTGTTTTTTCTGCCTAACACATACAAATTATTTTATATTGTTAGTCCTCATGTTACGCAGCCCGAGGATATGGAGGTAGACACTGAGGGCGAAAATCATGAGACGGACTCTCGTCAGCTAACAGATGGATCTGGTATGGGCCAAATCACAGGAAATCAAATTAGGCGCCACAATTGACATCCGGGCATACTGCCTGTCCTGAAATGGATGTGCTAGGCGCAAGAATACAGACATGCCAATTATGCCATATCAGGGACCCGGTTACTTTCATAAGGACCAGTTCTCGCGAACGGAGCACACAACTGCCAGTGAGTGCTACAAAGACAAGGATATATATGTAAGGCGAGGCCGGTGATAATAGCACTTTAGAAACACTAGTAATAAAAACCTTTATAATTTCACACCCATTCTTTTAAAACTATTACAGTAGTGTTCCCCACCCCCCTCTTACATAACACTCATACCAAGTAAAATTTTTCATGCAACAACAAAAATGTTGCTGTTGGCTATTTTCACATTGTATTATTACACAATGTGTGTCATAATACGGGCCACTGGTACTACATTGAATAAATAGTAATTGTCCATACATTTTTGAATCATTGAGTCACGCATTTACAACTACATTTTGTGAGTTGACATTATATTTTAAACCCCTGTTTTATAACGTTAATTTGGCCCAGGTAATTGTAGATTTAACAATTCTGATTAATGCCTTAAAAAAGTATTCAATAAAGTATTATTTTAATGTTTGAATAATAATGCCCACATTGTCTTTTATTTATTGTAAATTTAACATGTGATTATACAACAAGCTGCTGATAAGTAGAGTAAAAAACATACCAATTAAAAATTGTGTACGAGAAAAATAAATTGAAATCTTAACTAATGGGTTTTATTTTATTTTATAACCAATCATTTGCTTGGCGCATTGATTGTGAATCTGAATGACCATCATTGTTATTTAAAAATATGTGAATTTGAATTATTTTCATTGATACGGGAGTTGGGATTTGTCAATTGGCTGCTAACAGTGTACATCATAAAAAAGCAAAGGCTTGGCAAGTGTGGCTTTTCCGGAACGGAATTAAAGCATTTGCATAGGAAAATATATACTAAAAAAGATGAGGAGGGTGGAAGGAGGGGGTGGTTGTGTGAATATGTACATTTAAATAAAAAATGTATATTCCGGGAGGCGTTCAGCACACATGGCTTATGACAAGGAAAATGTAAACGCCATGCAACTGCCCCTTGCATTCTATAATTTTTCTATTTGTTTCATAGCAACAAGGGCATATAGTTTTTTTGAAGTTTTATTCGGGAGTATGTGCTTTCTTTGTCGAAAATCCAACATTTATTTGTGTTGCTTTTTACTAGGTACATGTGGTATGTATACATGATGTAAACTATATTTTATATTTAGAGGCGCATTCAGGTGTAGAAAAATACCAAATATTACCGTGTAATTAGTTTTAGAACATAAATTGGTCACCTCTTTTTTTACTCCGTATTTTCGGCATT